AGAGGAAATCTGATTAGGAAGGAAGTAGTAGTCAAAGATATTGAATGCTGCATTAGAGGTCAAGATGAGGACAAGACATGACAGTTACACCTGCAAACAGAATGGACACTTACAGATTTCAGTAGAGTGAGAATGGAGCCAGATTGGAGCACTGAAGAACTGGAAGAGGCCGAGGAACTGTAGACAGCAGATGTGCATAAAATGGTTTCAAGCAGCTTTGCTATGAAGGAGAGCCAAGAAATGGGACGGTATTTGGACAGGTACGTGGGGTCAAGGATTATTTGTGTGTTTTCTAAAAATGGCATATATTGGAGCATGTGCGTACGTTGATGAGAGTGATCCAGGAGAGAACAGGTACTTGCAGGAGAGAAGTACTTAACAGAGCAAGAAGGGATGGGCTTGAGTGTACAAAGTAGACGGGTTAGCCTTCCTCCCTGTGAAAGGGAGGAAGACGGGACTATGCAGGGAAGGAACTCCCGATGATGCCTGATTGCTCCATTTTTTTTTTTCATTGAAATATCAAGGGAGATCTCCAGTGGAAGTGGAGCGGGGATGAAGAGGATGATAAACACATGATTTTCTAAGGAGTAAGACATGGCACATTCAAGGGAAAATGCTGCCAGCCCGTGCTGAATGCTCACTTGAGCTTCGTAGTTATTAATTTTATGAGGAGGAGGTACGGAGTTAAGCTTACATAGAGTTGGGCATTTTCCAGGAGCTCTATGGAAGGAGAAATGTACCAGGGAATTGAGGGTATTTTTAAAGGAGTGATTATTATAATAATGGAATTTATTCTGGTTAAGAAGGAATATATAAGGGGGATAGACATAGTGAAGAAATGTCACTATCATGAAAATCCCCTATATCTTTAACTTCTTCTCTACACTGCCCATTCTTGCCCTCATTGAACCTTAGTTGTCCCCAAAGGAAACCACCTGAACTGGGTCCCTCTCAACTGGAGGCTGCTTTTCCTTTTATACCCAGGGACCTGAGAGCCTGGGATGAGAGTAGATAACAAAACTTCAAAATCTCTAGCTCACCTGAGGATCATATTACCACACTGTGTAACCTATTACCTTTCTGTGGCAGAGATTTTAGCTTGTTTTGAAATATTCCTTCTTCCCCTCTTTCATAGTAATGGGATGTTTAGCTGGGCATATGGCTACTCAAAATGAAGACTAAATGTCCCGATCTCCCTTGCAGTTTGGTATGGACACATTATCAAGTTCTGAGCAATGGGATATAAGCAGAAGCATCATGTGGCAGCTTCCAGGAATCTGTCTT